CCTATTTTTCAAGAAAAATCATAAGGATTTTTATGTTAAATCTCACAGTTTTTCAACATTTGCTGAATTTTTCAAAAATACCAAGTGGATCGTACAGAACCTGTGGGTGGCCTCGATTTGCTCCATGGCCCGCTGTGGATGCTCTCTGGTCTGTAGATTTAGAACGCGTTTCTTGGCTGCACTTTGACCGTGTAACATACGTCATAGCACCTTCAGAGGTCATCCAGTGAGCTGGATAGCTCTCCTCTGAAGACTGTTCATGACAAAACTTGGTGGTTTACGAAGAGGGCACTGTTAAGATTGGAGAAGTGGGTGCTAAAGTCGGAAAGGCTTTAAATTGCATCTTCAATAACTTCCACGGCTTTTCCAATTTATATTTGCAGATTAGGATTCTTTGTTTTAAGCTATTTTATTGACTCCTAGATGATAAACTTTTTGAGAGTATGAAACTCTGACTCTATGCCTCTTTCTGCCCCAAACTCCCTTTACTCCCTTCGCTCGTATCTACAGAGCTAAATTCTACCCGTCAAGATCTAGTAATCGCTTCCTCCTCTAGGCTTTGCTGATCCTCTCCCTCGCACCCATTCCCCAGCCTCCCATGAAATCTGAAAGCAGTCTCTCTCCTCTGAACTCCCGGAACCTTCCCCCTGCGTGCCTGGTCCTGCGCAGTCACCGTGTATCTTTGTTTTGCAGTGTTTCACAAATGTATCTTATTTCCCCTACTATACCACAAGCCCATTGAGACAGAATTTTCATTTATCTTACGGCACTAGGTTTTAGTATTAGCCCTCATGCCTGGTTCTAGCTGGTTGATAGAAACCATCTGAAGCGCCTCTGAGACGAAGAGGGAGGGAGACTTTCAATGCCTACTCTTTGTGCCTTTTGAATTTGGTATTATATGAATGTATACTTATTTGTAAATTAAAGTCTAAAAATGCATATGGATTCAGAATCTCTGTGGGGGAGGGGCATGGAGAATCTGTAAATCTGTGCTGTTTTAAAGTTCCCCAGGTGACTGATGCATTGTCAGGTTTGGGGACCACAGTCCCAAAGTATATAGTAGGCATCCAGTGAGAATTTGTTCAACGGAGGAATAAATTTCTGTTTTCCTGTAGCACTTAGCCTGATGCCTTGCATGTAGTAGGTATTCAATAAATATTTGTTCAGGGCATTTTGATCAAAGATTCTGTAGAGGCATCCTGATAAAAAGGGGGAAAATGCAGAACAGAATTTCAAATTCTTATGGACTGCAAACTTTGTGGAGCCATGAAGGCTGGATGAACCCCTGAAACTATTGCCCTGAGATAGTCTTTAAACCTTAAACCAGAAATACCCCTGAAATCTTCTTAAAACCAAATAATAGTTTAGCTTAACTAGTAAAAAAATGTCTGCCTTGAGCATTATGCTCTTTTAAGAACTATCTGTATGGGACCAGATTGACAATAGCAACTCAAAAGATTGCATAGAAACCTTAGAGGGCAGTGAGTTAATGTTAATAGGGGAAGAACAACTCAGAAAAGGAGGGTAAGAATGGTTGCACAACTCGAAGAATGAAATCAGTGTCACTAAATTGTACACGTAGAAACTGTTGAATTGGTCTATGTTTTGCTGTGTATATCCTCAACAACAAAATAAAACTTTAAAAAAGTTTTTAAAGGGAGTTAAAATAAATTTTGAATTGAGAGAGATCCCCCGTCCACTCAATCCTACTTTCTTAGCCGGGGCCTGTCCCCACTTTCCCAGGCTTTCATTCCATCTGGGTGGTTGGGATACTTCCCATCTGCACCGCTAGGATGACTGACGAGTTGGCCTGCCTCCAGTTTGCCTCCCTCTGATCCTTTCATCATACTGCAGCCTGAGTGGTTTTTTTCCCTTTAACCTCAAATCTGATTATGACTTCCAATGGTACTCTATTACTTGTAGTATAATATTTACTGTGGGGAGTATTTTAGAGCCCACCTCAATCAACAGATGTGCCCTGAGTACCTGCCATGGGCCTGGCACTGCTGTGGGTGCTGGGATGGATCCATCACACACAACCACTCATCAGTCCCTCAGCCCAGTGTACCCTCTTGTCATTTTTTGCTTTGCCCATAGCGTTTCTTCTGCTTAGACTGCCCTTCCCACAGCCCTATTCTGTTTCTTCCTTGATGGTAAGCATTCCAGGGCCCTGTAAATAGTAAGTTGTCACTTCATCTTCTAACACTTTGTACATACCTCTAGTATAACGCTTACCATCATAGATTCCAATCACTAATTGGTATGTCTCTTTCTTCCCCTGGACTCTGAGCTCCTTGAGGGCAGAGACCTGCCTTACTCACCTCCCTATCTCCGGCACCAAGCACCATATCTGACCATGTTAGGTATTAACATATTTGCTGGGTAAAATTGATACAAGAATGAAGTATTTTTCTTTTGGTTTTTTGGGGTGTGTGTGTACACGTGCGCACGCACCAAGAAGGCAAATCAAGGTGCTACACAGCAATAAAGTAACTCTGATTTTAAAAGGATTTCTGCTTCACAAAGGTAGATATTCCCCTGAAAGAGGTCATACTTTGTGTTTCCAAAGATATGAGGATGTTTTAATGACATGTATGATGATACTTGTAATTACATATGCATTCTAACTGTAAGTATGACTAAGACGTTAAGTTTTAACAGTTGGGCCTTTTGCTAACCATCTTAATTGAACAGCCTGAGGGAAGAATCCGAGAATACCACAGAAGTGGGTTTATAATCTGAGCCAGGACACTGTAGAGTGTTTATTGGACACAACTCCAAAAATAAGCTGAAATATTATTGTATTCTCCAAATGGAAGTAGAGCCAAGTGGGAGGTTCAAGGTGCTGTGAAGTGGAGCATTTCGGAAGAAGCAGTAGTTTTGAGGTGGAAGGACGAAGTAGATGAAGTCAGCATAGAAGTAAGCCAAGATGGAAGCCACTTTTTTGAGGCATATAGCATGTGTTTTGCCAGATTTGAGTCTATCCAGGTTAAGAGAAGAATTGAAATAATACATGGGCTTCAGAGAAGACCAACAGGATTAGGATAGATATGAGTCAGGGAAGAATGTAGACCCTACAGGGGCCCACGGCAGAGAGCCTCAAGGAAGGCAAAAGATACGTCAGCAAAGTACATTGTTGATCTGTAGCCCATGAAGGACAGACTCCTGAGCTCTATTCAGGGGTGACCCTTCCTCCTTTTAGAGGCAGAGAGGAAGCCATATGGATTCCATTTCATTAAATCTCATTTTTATTTATAGATTTAATCCCTCCCACTAGAAAAGATTCATGGAAGATTACAGTTAAGGACAGATAACAGTAAACAAGAGCAGAAGAACTCATGTTAAGTAAAGAAAGTGAGACAGTAGTCACACCAGAAAGTCAGGCTAAGAATAGCTATAACAATTGATGATAAAAGTTAATTCTAAGCTTCCTTGTCTTGAGAGTTTAAAGAGAAACATGTTAAATATATTGTTCTCATTAGCTGAATAGAAGAACTTGTTAGTAAAAACGTACTTTTTGTCTATGGCTGCATGCAATAAAAGGATTTATCAAATGGATGCTTGTATAAAGGATGCTAAACAACATGATGGGCACAGCTTATAATAATAGCAGCCTTACAAAAGGTGGCCATCTGGTCTCTCCAACCCGAATAAATGCCATGAGCTAAATGTTATCCACTAGTGCTAGGAAGACATTGCCACTGGGAAATACCATCAAGATACATGGCTTTCTGGAGACTTCATTTGATAAGGGATAGCACAGGGAGACTGGATGAGTAGCTGGGTAGTATGTCCCTTAGACCAGTGTTTGTTTGTTTTGGTTTTGGTTTAACTGCAGGGGTGATCTATTAGTGCATAGTGAAATCAGTGAGATTAGTTTAGCAAGTTGCTGTTATTTTTTTTTTTTTTAATGAAATATAATGGTACAGAACAGAATGCATCACACGTCGTAAGGGAAGCCATTCATTTCCTTTGTGTCTTCGGTCACTAAGTACCATGTATTTCTTACTGGAGGCATGAAAACCACTGCTTTCACCAATCGCTCACTAGAACATCAGCTGGGTGTCCAGGCTCTGCCATCCCAGGCCCTCTGTATAGGACAGTGTTCACTCAAAGAGAGTCACAGGACCAGGGCTCCGGGAGGAACAGAGGGGATTCTCACGCAGAACAAGAGCCATTGTGCCTTTCGATTGTGCTAATTTAGAAACCTGTGACTAGACCCAATATTATACACTCAGAAACATACTTTCCTAGTTCTGGTTTTATTTCCTTTGTTTGCCTGCAGTACCTCACAGAGCTCTTTTCTAAAACCTCTAGTCTACTTTGGCTGTAATAAAGGAGAAATCAGAAAAGAACTGGTATGGGTTCCCACGTGGGTCAGTAGCGCAGAAAGGCAGGGTGTCCCTAGTAGTCATACGGGTCAAGGAGAGATCTGGGGAGCCCAGCAGGATAGAGTGGGACCCTTCAGAGCCACAGATTAGGAATGGCTCTTCCAGTTTTTGCTTCTTTTCTGAGCAGATGGTACCTTTACATATAGGTACCACTTAGGGAAAACTTTTTTTTTTTTTTTTAATCATTTTCGTGCTTCCTGAATTCTGTTTGGATTAGATCGTCGAGGTTATCTTTGAAAACAGATAGGAGGCTTGTGGCAGGGCCATGGCATTGCCTAACTCCAGGGATCTAGTGCAGCAGCCCTGAGTGATGATGAGACCCTTAACATTTGGGGGAAAAAATCCTTTTACCAAATTGGGACAGGTATATATTGCTACAAATTTGCAGAAGTAAGGGGAAAGACTACTGGGACAATTGTCAACTATAACAACTGTTAGCACTGGTCTGAGAAACAGGTGGGGGTGAGAAAAAGATTCAGCTCCTAATGTTGACTCCTAGTCCTGGGAGCAACAAAATTTTTTTTTTGAAGGAGAGTTTATTCAAAATGGTCTATAAATGAAGAAGCCACTTGTGGAAGGGCCTCTGACGTTTCTCTCCTGTTGTTTCAGATGACAGTCATGTCCCTTTCCAGGGACCTCAAGGACGACTTCCACAGTGACACAGTGCTCTCCATCTTAAACGAGCAACGAATTCGGGGAATTTTATGTGATGTCACCATCATTGTGGAAGACACAAAATTTAAAGCCCACAGCAATGTCCTGGCTGCTTCAAGCCTTTATTTCAAAAATATATTTTGGAGCCATACCATCTGTATTTCCAGCCATGTCCTGGAGCTGGATGATCTCAAAGCTGAAGTGTTTACAGAAATACTTAATTATATCTACAGCTCTACAGTCGTCGTCAGGAGACAGGAAACAGTCACTGATCTTGCAGCTGCAGGGAAAAAGCTGGGAATATCGTTCTTGGAAGATCTTACTGATCATCACTTCTCAAATTCTCCAGGCCCCTATGTATTTTGTATTACTGAGAAGGGAGTAGTTAAAGAAGAAAAAAATGAAAAAAGGCATGAAGAACCAGCCATCACCAATGGGCCAAGGATCACAAATGCATTTTCCATCACTGAAACAGAAAATAGTAATAACATGTTTTCTCCGCTGGACTTGAGGGCAAGTTTCAAAAAGGTCTCCGACTCCATGAGAACAAGTGGCCTTTGCCTAGAGAGGACCAACGTTTGCCAGGAGCCGGAGCCCGTCCGCACACTAGCGGAGCACTCCTACGCTGTTTCTTCTGCGGCGGAAGCTTACAGAAGTCAGCCTGTATGTGAAGAGGCCAGCAGCTCGACTGGTAAAGCAGGTAAAGAAAATGGCGAAGCTCTTGCAGCAAAGCCGAAACCATGCCGCAAGCCAAAGACACTCTCCATACCCCAAGATTCTGATCCACCTACAGAAAACATACCACCCCCTCCAATAACCAACTTAGAGGTTAATCAGGAAAGAAGCCCACAGCCAGCTGCAATTCTCTCTCAGTCAAAATCTCCCCACAACGAAGGAGATGTCGATATTCCCAGGGAAGATGAGAATAAATCCTCTGACGTTCCTGGGCCGCCGGCAGCCGAGGTTCCACCTCTTGTTTACAATTGCAGCTGTTGCTCCAAATCCTTCGACAGTAGTGCTTTGCTCAGCGCCCACATGCAGCTTCACAAGCCAACAGAGGAGCCTTTAGTGTGCAAGTACTGCAACAAACAATTCACCACCCTCAACAGATTGGATCGGCATGAGCAGATCTGTATGAGGTCAAACCACATGCCCATTCCTGGAGGAAACCAACGCTTTTTAGAAAACTACCCTACCATTGGACAAAATGGAGCTTCATTCACAGGTCCAGAATCTTTATTATCTGAAAATAGGATTGGTGAGTTTTCCAGTACTGGAAGTACCTTGCCAGAGATGGAGCACATGGTTAAATTTGTTAATGGACAAATGCTCTACAGTTGTGTTGTATGCAAACGCAGTTACGTGACTCTATCCAGCCTCCGTAGACATGCAAACGTTCACTCATGGAGAAGAACATATCCTTGCCATTACTGCAACAAAGTATTTGCATTGGCTGAATACAGGACAAGACATGAAATTTGGCATACGGGGGAAAGGCGGTATCAGTGCATTTTCTGCCTTGAAACTTTCATGACCTACTATATACTGAAAAACCATCAGAAGTCTTTCCATGCCATAGATCATAGACTTTCCATCAGTAAGAAAACAGCAAATGGAGGCTTGAAACCTAGTGTCTATCCATATAAACTTTATAGGCTACTGCCTATGAAATGCAAGAGGGCTCCTTATAAGAGCTACCGACATTCTTCCTATGAAAATGTTCGAGAAAACAGTCAAATGAATGAGTCTGTACCTGGCACCTATGTTATTCAGAACCCACACAGCTCCGAATTACCTACACTGAATTTCCAAGACAGTGTAAACACCTTGACCACCAGTCCAGCCATCCCATTGGAAGCATCTGCTTGTCAGGACATACCCACTTCCACCAATGTACAAAATGCAGAGGGCACCAAATGGGGAGAGGAGGCAGTGAAACTTGATGTTGACAATAACTTTTATTCAGCTGAGGTGTCAGTTTCCTCCACTGAAAATGCCGTCAATTCTGACCTCCAGGCAGGGGGTGTGCCTGTCCTGCCTGTGAGTAATGGCAGTGAGAAGTCCACCTCTGTGATCAGCTACAGTGGCTCAGCCCCCTCGGTCATTGTACACAGTAGCCAGTTTTCATCGGTGATCATGCACAGCAATGCTGTTGCTGCCATGACCAGCTCTAACAACAGAGCCCCCGCAGACCTGGCTGTCAGTCAGTCCCTGAAAGACAACAGCAAACCTGAGCCAGACAAAGGGACTAAAGTTGCAAGCATTAAGGAGAAAAAGAAAACAATACAACATAACAAGGGAGAAATACCGGAGGAGTCAAAATATGTTGCTGATCCTGGAGGGTCGTTGAGCAAAACCCCAAATGTCACTGAAGAAACCAGTAAAATCGAAACCTACATTGCAAAACCTGCTCTACCCGGAACCTCCACAAACAGCAATGTTGCGCCCCTTTGCCAAATAACAGTGAAAATTGGGAACGAGGCCATTGTGAAAAGACATATCCTAGGGTCCAAATTGTTTTATAAAAGAGGGAGAAGACCCAAATACCAAACGCAGGAGGAAAGTTTGCTGCAGGACAGTTACCCGGAAACCAAGGGTGACAGCCCACTGGGGCTTTGCCAGTCGGAGTGTGTGGAGATGAGCGAAATGTTCGATGAGGCCAGTGACCAGGATTCCACTGACAAGCCATGGCGCCCTTACTACAACTACAAGCCCAAAAAGAAATCCAGACAACTGAGAAAAATGAGGAAAGTCAGCTGGAGGAAAGAGCATGGGAACAGGAGCCCAAGCAATAAATGCAAATACCCAGCAGAACTGGATTGTGCTGTGGGGAAGGCCCCTCAAGATAAGGCTTTTGAGGAGGATGACAATAAAGAGATGCCCAAGCTGCAGTGTGAACTCTGCGATGGAGACAAAGGAGCCACGCCTGGAAGCCAGGGCAGGCCCCACCGACATCTCACTGCCAGGCCTCATACCTGTGAGCTCTGCGCCAAGCAGTTCCAGAGCCCTTCCACACTCAAAATGCACATGCGGTGTCACACGGGAGAGAAGCCCTACGAGTGCAAGACGTGTGGGCGATGCTTCTCAGTGCTAGGGAACCTACAGAAACATGAACGCATCCACCTGGGCCTGAAGGAGTTTGTCTGTCAGTATTGCAGCAAGGCCTTCACTCTGAACGAAACCCTCAAAATCCACGAAAGAATCCACACTGGTGAAAAGCGTTACCACTGTCAGTTCTGCTTCCAGAGTTTTTTATATCTCTCCACAAAAAGGAATCACGAGCAGAGGCACGTTCGAGAGCATAATGGGAAGGGCTATGCCTGCTTCCAGTGCCCCAAAATTTGCAAAACAGCTGCTGCCCTCGGAATGCACCAGAAGAAACACTTATTCAGAAGCCCAGGTCAGCAGGAGAAAATGGAAGGTGACGTGTACCAGGAAAACTCAAATCCCTTGGAGAATCCACATTGCATTGATTCAGAAGACAATGACCAAAAGGATGATGCACACGCCATTGTTGAAAACGTTGTCCTTTGAGTGGTGATAGAAAAATCTTCAAAAATAAAAGTTGGTGGGGTTTTTCTTTTTCTTTTTTAGTTTTGTTTTGTTCACACGACAGTCATGAAGGAGTGACATGTAAAAAAAAAAAAAAATCTCATTTGCGAAAATTCCAGCAAAAGGATACTTTCGTATCTACTTTAGGTTTTAGCATTAACTTTATGCAAAGTGCACAAAAACCAAAATAGCTGAAGCCTCCAGTGTCCCAAGTACCTTGTGAGAGTTAATGAAGTTCTTAGCTGTGGTATTTCTACCAGTGAATAAAAGAGTTTAATTTTAGCCTAATTTAAAACACTTTCTAAGTAAATGCTAATAGGAACTGGCTGCTGAACTGTCTTTAATCACTGGAGAACATAAGGGTCAGATATCATGAAAATGTCATCTTCACAAATATGCTAAAAGGTCAATGAGCCATGGAAGTCTTTATTCCCGTCTGGCTTCTGCACTATGAAAATGTGTTTAAATTAATGGATACGTATGAAATAATAATATAGCTGAAAATATGTGTGAAATGAGTAACCTAAAGTAGGACATTCTTTCATTCTGTAGAACTACTTTTCTGCAACACAAACCTTGTAAAATACTTATATAAATCACTATAACGTTTAACTATTCATATCCCCTGTAGAGAATTATAACGAAGAGCAATAGATCTGCAAATAATGAGGACTGATGTAAAAATCAGTAGAAAGCATTATGATTATGACTTAAGAGCATGTGTATGCTTTTAGATGGAATGCTGTTCTCTTGAAGTTATGGCTGAGCTGTTATTAGAACTTGTCTACTCAAGTCACAGAAAACATAGGTCATGCCTTATCTATGTGGGAGGGAGCCTTCCCAGAATTTACCTGTGATTACTTGTGCTGTGTATTACTCTGCAGTGGCCTCACCCCAGAGAATGAAGGAGGGTCAAACTCTCTTGAAACTCTCTGCAGTCTTCCAGTCATCACAAGGCCGTGGATGTGGCGGTCTATTCCAGACAGACTTAACTAGTCTGAAGGGTTCAAAGAAAGCCTGACATCTCCTGTTCCACTGAAGGAGGGTGCAGGATATTTAGCGCCAGGCACACATATGGTGGTGAATTCCCAGGCTCTTGAAAGTGACAGCCTAATCCCTGCAATTATTAGCCTTCTTGGAGATTGTGCAGCCCCCAAGTACATGTTAGTATAAAACAAAAGGACGACAGAGAAAGTTCCCACTCTTAATAACTTGAGTGGGCGGGAGGAAGGGGCCACCTTCCTCGCCTCAAACAGTAGCTTTGTTTTAGGGGCATGGGGAGGTAGGATATGGAGTGACAAGGTTCTTTCCCTCCCTATATGACTCAGAAGTATATCCACAAAGCCAGATGCCTTGTCTTGTCTTCATATTTGCAGACATCTAGCCCCCTTGCTAAAAACCCACTTTTTTTTTTTTTAAAGTTCTTTTACGCTGACCCACACCATCCACATTGCCCTCAAAATCTAATTGCCCCTTAGGATGGTTCACCCTGTGGACTAGGTTCCTGGGAAACTGGAACTCATGATTCTTTTTAAACTGGCAGAATAGGAGGGGAGAAAACATTCCTACCCTTTGATCACCAATATGAGCAGAATCTGGAACCTGGTTTAAGGGTGACCTGCAGGCATTCGTATTCATTGGATTTGATAGATGGAAATCCAAGGTTGCAAGGCTTTCATTACGAAGAAGTAGCTCAGAGGACTTCGGTTTTTCTCTCCAATTTGTGATGTCTCCAAGAAGAAGACTTGGTATGGATTTGGGTGGGTAAGAAAGCATTTCAACACCCAGAAGAGGACATGATCAAAGCTGACCTTTTTTACTGTAGTACTTTGCTGTTAACCCCAATACTGTATCTGCGTTTATCTTTTGTTCATCTACTTTCACTTACGTACAGTATTATATGGTAGAGGAAAATGGGAAAATGCAAGTGAATTCAACTTTATACGTTGTATGTATGTATACCTGCACTTTTCATTTGGGTTTGGTTAAAGAGAGTCACAAAGGGCTTATGAAAATCATTTTTGAATTGATTAGAATATTGAATAAGCAATCCTGTGATCCACTAATTTGTTTTATCTGAATTAGAATTATGAAATCAAGGAGAATTACTGTGTATCTTAGCCGTTTTGATTTGAGGTAACTCGAAATATAAAATTATTAAATGTCATCATGTCTCCCAGCCCTTACATGTGGATATTTTTTAAGTGGACTTGTATGCTGATAATTCTAGACCAAAGTAAATATGGCAGAATATTTATACATGAAAAAATAATTTTTCAAATATTTTCTATAATTGTATTATTCGTTTAAAATGTTGATAGCTTGTGTTAGTTTCAGGGAGGGGTGTATATTTTGATAAAAAATACTTGACTTTGTAACTGTATATTCTATACAATTTATAGCAGAGCCATTTTAAGACAGCCTTGTCACATTTTTTTGTTAATTGTGAAAATTTTATTATGAGTGATGTTTAAGTATGCATCGAGTACCTAATGACCAACTAGAATTTAAGTAAGTGTAAACAGTGAACATACTGTATGCTGTACAAGATATATTGTAATTTGCTGTTTTAGCATCTGTATTTTGGTTAGAAGATATTAAATGCAGATGTTAAGGGTTGGAAAAGTCTAATTTTATTTTTAGAAATAATGAATATAAATTTGTTTTTGCTTGATTAAAATAGCTTATTCCTACATTAAGTCTCTTTTTAAATGTTTCAGTGTTAATTCTTTGTACAGCCAAGCAGCTCTTTCAGCTCTGTGAGTCATGGCTTTGTTTCACATGTTATTCAGTCACTAAAGTTCGGTTTCCTTACTTCCTTGCGTTCCGTGGCACCTACTTACATGCTTAGGACTCAAATGGAAGGTGACTTTTTTTTAAAAAATGGTATAAGAGGGATTGAAGTTTTCTTGTAATTTAGTGCTTCGGCTAGGCCTGATCTTATAAATCAAAGAGTAAAATGTTTTCTGGAAGTATTCTGCTGTACCCATCCACAGGAAACAAATTACGTTTATTGAATATCAGGCGTTTTTCAGAGTTCCTTACATGGGCTTCCATTCATTCCGTCCACCCCTGCCGGTAGGCGTTACCCTCATTTTATGGTGATTTTGAGAAGATCGCACTGCCAGGATTCCAACCCAGTTCTGCCTCACTCCACAGCCCATGTTTTTTTTCCTTGTTGACACTTTAGAGAAAAGTGCTTAACATAAACTGATGGAGAGAGAGACGTGGCAAGGTAATGCAGTTTGGGGATGGTAGTTGATCTGACTGGTGTGGCGCTGGCTAAAATTAGGCAGTGATGAGTTCATCTTTTGGGTGGTGCAAACAGGTAAGCCCTCAACTGCTAACTAAAAGGTTAGAGGTTCAGGTCCACCCAGAGGTACCTTGGAAGAAAGGCCTGGTGCCCTGCTTCTGAAAAATCAGCCATCGAAAACTCTGTGGCGCTCACTCTGACACACGTGGAGTTGCCAAGAATCAGAGTCGACTTGATGGCAACTGGTTGGTTGGTTGGTTAGGCTCACCGTCAGCTGTCTCCGCATTGATGTATCACTCGCTGAAGCCTCAGTCAGTGCCTTGGGCGTTCAGCTCTCATATCTTGGGATCTTGTCCTTTCGTAATGAGTTTTTAAGAGTTTATACACTTTTTTTTAGGATATGGAGCAAAATTATAATGCCGCCATAAGCTAGTAATTTTTCACATAAAGAAAAGTCTGTTTACCATAATCATTCCTAACCTTTACTAATCCTCTTGCACATCTGTGGGATTAGTCACCATGGATTATTGAAAAGGAGTGCCCGTGACTCGGCTCCGCAGCATAATCTGTCACCCAACACGGGAAGGAACTCAAATTTCGAGTCCTGTTAATGCAGGTCAGTAGCATCGATTTCATATTTGAAGGGCAATCCAAAGCAAATCCACCAAAAATTTGATAACTAGTCTCTGCTAGGTCCCTGGGTGGCACAAATGGTTAAGCACTCAACTACTAGGCAAAAGGTTGTCAGTTCAGCCCACTCAGGCGCTTCAGAAGAGAGGTCTGGCAATCTGCTTCGAAAAGGTCACAATCTTGAAAACCTATGGAGCAGTTCTACTCCGCACACGTGGGGATGCCCATGAGTTGGAATCTACTCAATGGCAACTAACAACAGTATCTACTAAAACTAACATCATTATCCAGCAAAACAACAGATATAACATTGAAAGAATTTGTAGCAATTGGGAAAGTAATTGAATTAAAAGCATAAAAACAAATTGTGCAAGGCAATCTTGTATGTACATATTCTTTTATTCAGGTCTTTTCATTCCTATTGCTCACTCATCACCTGGTGAAACTCAGGTGAAATTGTACACTACAGATTAGTAAGTAAGCCCATGCATACCTTGCTTATTGGGTAATCTGTCCCTCCCTAATGTGTTTAAAAGGCTCCCTGTGACTGCAGTGGAATGAATAGACTAGGGTGGGGCAAGGGTGGAAGCAGGAAGATAAGATAGAAGCTATGGCAGTAGTCCGGCTGAGAGATGACAAGGACTTAAGCAATGGTGGGTGTAGAAGTAGTAAGAGCAGGTCAGATTCTGGATATTTTTTAACCTTTTAGTGTGGAAAATTCCTAACATAACCAAAAGTAGAATAGTATAGTGAACCCTAGTGTAGCCATCATCCATCTTCAACAATCAACAATTCATGGACAATCTTGTTTTATCTATATCCTTGCCAACTTTCCGCCTATCATATTTTGTAGCAGGTCCCAGGCATCATGCTATTTCAGCTGTAAATATTTCAGTATATATCTAAAAAGCAATTTTAATATAACCATAATTCCAATATCATACCTGAAAAAAATGAACCCCATCAGTTAAAATATCTGATGGCCTCATATTGCCATAATTTTTTTTTACAGTTTGAATCAGAACCCAAATAAGGTTACATACTACAACTGGTTGCTATATCCAAGTGTCTTTTAATCTATAGGTTCCCCCTGTATCTAGCTTTTTATTTTCTTCCTTCCTTGCCATTTCTTTTTGAAGAAATTTGGGTGGTTTGTCCTGTAGAGTTTCTCACAGTCTGAGAAGTAGCAACACTACTTCCTAGGATGGGTTATGTTCTTCCATCAGGGCACACATAGTATGTCTGGCTGAATTTCTGGATATCTTTTGAAGGTATATCTGATAGGATTTGCTGGTGGTTTAAGTCCCCCCCCCCCCACACACACACACACAAAGCCAAACCCGTTTGCTGTCGAGTTGGTTCTGACTCATAGCCATCCTGTAGGACAGAGTAGAACTGCCCCATAGGTCCCAGGAGTGCCTGGTGGATTCAAACTGCCAACCTTTTGGTTAGCAGCCAAACTCTTAACCACTATGCCACCAAGGTTTCCTTAAGTACCAGGAGATGAGAAAAAGAGGAGTGAAGGACGACTGCAAGGTTTTGGGCCTAAGCGATTGGAAGGATGAAGTTACCAGCAGACAACTAGATACATAGATGAGAAATTCAGAAGAGAGGACTGAACTGGAGAAACGGATATGAAAGTCATGACTTAATCATTCAAAACTATTTGAGCTTGGTACTAGGAATAAAAGAGTGGCCCAAACAAATAGTCCCTGGAGCTCATTATCTAGTGGGGAACACCATAAGCTGAATAGTTACAACTGTGGTAAGAGCTATGAAAAAAAAAAAAAACATAGAGCTCTGAGGACATCTAATAGGGGGAGCTAACCTAAAAGTTCAAGAAATGTCATCCTTGAGGAAATAACTTTTGAACTGACATCTGAAAGATGGACAGGAATTGAAAGGGGACAGGTCTTCCAAGCAGGGGGAATCACATGTACAATGTTCTGCCTCTGGAGGAAACAAAGTATATTGGAGACCGTTGGTGGCCAGTGTGCAAGAGAGATGGATTGGAGATGAGACTGGAGGATAGGAGCCATGCCATTTAGGGCCTCCTAGGTCATGCTGAGGATTTGGATCTTATCCTAAGAGCAACAGAAAACATTTGAATTGTTTAAAGTAGGTCGGAATGAGAAGAGGTATTTTCATCAGTTTTGTATTGTTAAAAAGTCACTGTGGCTGGAATGTAGAGAATGGCTTGGAAGACATTAGTGGCCAGAAGTAGAGCAATTAGGAAGCTATTGTAGTGGTGCCGGCTGGAGATAATAATGGCTTGGATGAGGTGGTGGTAGTGAAGACGGAAAGAAGGGGACAGATTTGAGAGCTGTTGAGATGAAACCAGCAGGACCTGATGTTGGATTGGATATGGGAAGTGAGAGTGAGGGAGGGGTCAAGGATAACCTTTTGGCTTTGGAGCTGTTGAAACTATGGGAATGCAAGATGTCCCCCATGAAGATTGTATAGAGAAAGAAGACGGAATCCTGGAAAACACCAATATTTGAAAGATGAGTCAAATAAGAGCCTGAGGCAGAGAGGAGACCCAAGAAGTATAAGGAAAATTGGGAGAGTGGAAGCTAGAAAGATAAAGATGGAAAGACTCTCAGTAAGGAGCAAACAGTTATGTCAAGTGCAGCTGAAGCCAAGTATGGAAAGTGCTCTTTGCACTCAGCAACTAGAAGGTCGCTGGCAGTGGTGTGCTGGTAAATGTTTAACAACCAGCCCTCTGGGGAGGGAAAACACCCTGACAGACAGTGTTTGCCAATTTCTGTGGGGTAAGCTCTCCCACTGTGAATTATTTTAAGCTACAAACATGACATCACTGAACATGGTGTTGGGAAGAGATGAGCCGGCTCCAGTGACTCAACTGGTCACCTTGGCAAGGGTAGTTTGAGTGTGGTGGTGGGCAGGTGGAAGCTGAGGGGCAGATGGAGAGCTGACGTGGAGACAATGAGTGAGGTCTCTTGTTTCAAGAAGCTTGGCTATCAAGGGGAGAAGAAAGACATGGAAAGGTAGCTACAAGTAGAAGGGTTGAGGGTCATGGTTCCACCATGCAGCATGGAACCAAAGGATGAGGAGGCAAGGGAGTTGAGAGTATTGGAAGGAGACTAGTTTTATTCAATAACTACAGAGTCTAATATAAGAAATGCAGACACCTCAGTGTCTGATAGACAAACACAAATAGAGGGGTCAGAAAAGAGGTGTGTCAGTGAGGCTGAATAATCCTGTTCTTCACAACTATTTTTATATTTGTCCCTCCACACACCTGTTGTAGTGGCAGTGATTCATGTCTGTGTTTTAAAGATATGGGCCCTGAGGCAAAGGGAAGTTTAGGGGCTTGTCCAGGCTCAGGGACAGGACCAACACCAAGCCTTGGTTCCCAGGACACTGGTTCACCACCATCAACTGATTCCACATTGACTAAGGTATTTACTGGAAGACCTGGGACTGAGACATTGACAACTATCACCCTTTCCTCAAAATCAGTGTTTATTGGTGTGAGGTTCTAAGCCCTTCAGAGTCCTAGGTCACTTTTTTTTTTTTTTAATTCAGCATGTTCTTCTATAGCACTTAGCATTACCAGGCACTCTTCTAAGCATCTTACGAGTATTAACTCATCTAATCCTCACCCCTGGGGAGTAAACATAATTATCATCATCCCCATTATTACCATCATCCCCTCTAGAGTTTCGTATGGTTATTTTTGCTGTGCAGTGCCACAAATCTTAGTGACTTAAAACTTCTGTGATTTGACTGGAATCAACTGAGTGGAGCCTCTCATGCAGTTGCAGTCAGACGGCAGAGGGGCTGGAGTCATCTAAAGACTCCACTGGACTGGATGTCCAAGAGGACGTCTTCACTCCCAGCTTGGTGCCTTAGAGCTCCTCCAGCAGCATCAAGCACTGGCCTCTACCCAGCAGAGTAGCAATGACTTCTGTGTGGTGGTTCTAAACACCAAGTGTGTGTATATGTTGTGTATTGTTTTTCCTTATAAATAGTTAAAATCTGAAACTTCTAGTTGGCTATTCAA